ACCCTAACAATCTCACGGGACTTGATAAGTATTTGTTTTTAACCCATGATCCATTATTGTTCATTGTTTTTGTCAAAACCGTAAGCATGTGCTTCCTCCACACATAATATTCCAGTTTGCCAAATGCAGCAACCGCTTTTGAGACTCGGATGCGCTGCCTGCTACTCATCTGCAAGTCGGTGGATATAACGAACCAAAGGTAACAGAAGTTTGATGCAGTCTCCAATTCGTTAGCAGCAGTCTGGATTTGCGTCTAGACCACGGACTGTACTCCCGGTGCAGGAAGAAAAGAGCAAACAGTGTTGATTGCAGAGCTAGTTTGGAACACACATTGTATGATTAGATTGCGACCTGCAATTTTAATGCAGACCGCGCTTCACTTTGAAGTGAACCTTGGTCATTGTGATCATTGGGACCGCAGAAGAAGCAGATGGAAATTGAGTGTTGTTTGCCGGGTGAGCAACAAAAAGTCTTCATTGTTTTGCTGGTGTGTCCGAACCCGGCTGCTCTCAAAGCAAGAACGAGACGATACGATACATCATCAACACTGTGTGCAACTAACGCGCAACATGCGGAGAGTGGTCTTGCATACTCGGGTTCTTTCCCGAAACCACGGATGTACTGCAATGCAACATCAATACAGTGCTCCACACGGACACCGCAACCACAAGTACTAGATGCACACGACATGTTAGCATTTAACGAAATAGTACAGAGCGCAGTGGCTAGGAGACATCAGTCGTCTGTGGTTAGTCCACAAATCAGTACCCTAGCCTACATACTGCTATGCAGACAAGTCAATTAAACTTACAAACTCACTCGGGTGACCAAACTAGTCCAACACCAGTCACAATGCCACGCGGCTCAGCGTGACAATTCTCTTGGTGAAGTCTACACACACCGAGTACAAGGACTGGTGACGTTCTCGGCATTTCTCTTGTAACTGGCAGACCGAGAACACCATATCAATGGTGCAGCGGTCCGAATGTTATCCACATTTCTCTTATGCCACATGCGGTTAAATGACCTGATTGAGAAGCTGGTTATGCAGGATTCGCGCAATCACATTTAAACCGAAAGGAGGAGTGGCATGCAGCCATTTCCGTTCAGAAATTTTAAGAGAGCATGAACGAACTACATTTGTACGTGATAAAATGCATTCAGATTAGTTCGTGCTTCGCATTCAGCCGCTTACAGACAATTGGTGGAAAGGGTAAAGCAATGCAATTGAAAAGGGGTCGATAAGGAGGTCAATAAAACTGAAACAATCCAGGTCATCGCCTACATGTTATCAGGGCAAGGCAAGACTGGCCACAAGGTCGACCTGTTTGCAAAGGTTAGGTTTCATCCGTTAGATGTGTCTGCAAGCGGCTGAATGAGAAGACACGAAATAAGCTGAATGCAGGTTTTCCCGTACAAAGGTTGTTCGTTCTTGCTCTCCCAATATTAAAAGTGCTGATACAACAATAATCTATAGCACATTGCTTATACTCTTTACCATTGTGCAGCACATGGGCATCCTTCAAGTCAGCCGGCACTTCCTATACAAACCAGATGAGTTACACGAATTGGTGCAGCGCATGTACCAACGAGGGTCCGCTGCGTTTCAACACTTCTAACGGCATCGCGTCGGATCAGGTGCACTTGCCGTTTCGCAGCTCAGGCAAGTGTTCTCTGCGTCTTATCCAGTGTCGGTGGGTCGGAAAGTCACCTTTGCATCTCGTGTTGTTGCAGCCTGTGCAATCTCCTAACGGTTGTTCAAGCGGCAGTCGAAGTACTTTCGTCAAGTGTGCCTTATGTCCGCAGTCTGTGTGCAGGCAGGACCTGCAGCAATACCCACCAGAGTCCTCAGCGGCTGCAAGGTGCGTCCATACACCACCTACAAAGAGTGGAAATTCCTAGTGTTGGCGACATGTAGTGTAGTATTCCATCTGCTCCGTTTTTTCCATCCAGCATGCATTCTTGATGCGACGGGGCTGTCGAATAATTTCCCCGCCACATCTCGCAAAACCTGACCCTCCTTCTCTTACTTGGCAGAGTCTTCCAAATTCGCAGCGGATGCTGCATTCTTTTCTGACGCCAGTGCGCCAGTGGTGGCATTGTCAACAAACCAATCGGCCGCTTACAGCTTGCACGCCCGATGATTTGCTTGACCGAAGCTGCAGTCTGTTTCATAATGTGTTGTTAATGCGAGTAATAATCACCTTATGCAGTCTCACCCTCTTATTAATGGTACCTAGGTAAGGAACCCTAAATTTACGCGGATTCACGGCAGGTGAACAATACATACATTTCGTGATCACTAGCACACTCAGCGCACGCAGTACATGTGTCATGCGCACTTCACGCATGTTCTGCTGGTGTACGATGACATAGTCGAGCAGGTGAGCGTGACCACTCCGTGGGTGCGGCCAAGTAGCGATATCAATCACAGCCAGTGCAAACAGGCTGTTCATAATCGTCAGGCGGTGAATGGCGCACAGGGATAGCAGTTAGCCACCGCTCCTAATGGCTGAGTCAATACCATAGGTTACGATTACGCCTGCCCACACCGCAGCCTCACAGCTGCCGCGTGTTGGAATCACACAGTACGAATAGGCGGTCGCTTCTGGGCACAGACCGTAGCGCGAAGGACAACTGAGCACAACGAGACGAAGAAGAAGTGTTATCAATCTTGGGCCTAACGCGGTCAGCTATTCCGCTGGTGTTCGTTTAGGTATTGAGATAATGTTAATCGGACGCCATGTTCATGTGGTGCTGTAGTGATGTGTTCCACCCAGTCGAACGTGCAGCCAGCACCATCCCCGTGCAGCTTGACTTGGTCCACAAACCGAGCCTCACTCATTGCGGCATTACAATGCTGTGACGCGCAAATTCAATCGCAACAAGTACACCGCGTCGCTCGGTGTTCTCACTTGTTTTCGGTCCAGTAGTGTGCACGCGCCAGCAGCAGATGTTGAGCGCTTTAGTTGAAGACAAACGATTGCTCTGGTCAGCCGCTTGTGTGGTGACCGGGATTAAAGGAGGTCGTTAGTTAATTGAACTGGGGTAGGGGAGGTTATGTGCATGGGAATTAGAAAGATGGCGGGCGTCATTGGCAGCATGTTTTCGCTTAATCCCCCTGTTGGATGTAGCAGATAAGGCGAAGCTTCTAGCTCCCATACCACTGTGCGACCGCCGATGCAGCATGACATTATCAGTGTTAATGCATTTCAGGATTTGGTTTAGCTCTGGTATGTTACCAGGTCATCCACATCTGACGGGAGACCAATGGGTCCTCAACTAAAGCCTTCAATAAAATGTACTCTAGAATGATAGCTGAGTGTGAGTCAGTGAAACGTGTTACTCGGAATTGTATTTGTTCGGTCTCATAACTGGAAGAACGGTATAAGCCTACTCCCACAAAGCGACCGCCAGGAGTAGGCGTCTAGGACATGAGTCCACGATACAATATTGAGAGCAGCAGGTCGACTAACTGTCAGAATCTAGACACCACCATCCCATATATATATATATATATATTCTTTGTAGCTGGATTTAACCCTTTAGTAATTTAGCCTTTTCGAACAACCTTAAGTTTTGGCTTGTGACCAAATATTGGATGAAAATTAGGCTAACCAGCGCGATCTCGATGAGGCCTGGAATTAGTCTGGGCGGAACACACTGAAATTCATTGTGTATAAGTACCGTGTTCTCTACATTCGCCATCGATTCGTTCACATCTAAGAGCTTGGGGGCGTTATCTGGAAACGTATCTCCGGAACGTGATCCCCGTCTGCTTGTACAGGCAACCTGTATTGTTCCAGACAATCCAAGTCCTCTTAAGAAAACAACCAACATTGTTCTCTTGCGGATGGGCATACGGGATTTGGATTCATCCATCTTCTCTCTGACGTCTACTGCTTACGCGCGTTCTCTTTAAGAATACTTATCCAGGATCCGAAACCCTTGCTAAAATCTGACCTGGTATCACTCTCTAACCTCAAAGTCGGGTAACAAACATTGTCAGTGTCTCGCCTCACCTTCCTTATCAGGAACGGCTGTGAAATTCACAGGGTTAAGTGGACGCTACTGGCGGCTACATGGACACCTCATATTACCATAATGAATACTGAAAGATCGCAGTCACTTATGTCGTCATCTCCTGTAATAGGTCGAACGCGAAACTGAGAAGTCATCATCATCTTTATAGAAGTCAGCTAGAGGTGGGAAACACCTCAGCTACTGTGCCGCAGAATCTGAGAGGTAGTACTATGGCATTAAGTCAACCACACAATGGTCTGGATTGCAGACGAACTTACTTCTCCCTCAAGGTCTACTAAGTCTAGAACGCCCTACCAAGCACTATTGCTTATGTCCACATCCAAGTTATGTTAACAAACGTTTGGAAATCATATTCCTCTCACTACATATTGTTACATGAACGGATGTTACGGAGTACATTACGGCCAACTAGAACAACGTGATTATACTCCGCACTGACAAGGTGAGCAATTGGATTGCTTTTTATAATGGGAATTAACCATAGTACCTTATTATTATTATTGTTCAAATTTCTATGGTGCGTTCTCGCTCTCACCACCATACATCTAATATACTACTGCCTTGTCACTTCACCGATTGATATTTCCTTTTATCCACTTGTGTAGACTTCGGATTTGCTAATTCCTCCCTCCTCATCCTATGGGAACACCTCAGCGTGGGCTATTTTTCTCGTCATATCCCATTGTTCCACTTCTCAATGTTCCATCGGTCATTATAAAACATAGTTATAGTGACCGTTTCAGAGTTAATTTCTTTTTTGTTTAGGTACCATTATGATGAAAACACGCGTGACCTACTGAAATCTTTTGCTTGCCCTTTGGGTATCCGCTTCAAAATATTTAAATTCACTTTGACTCACTATTTGGATCGCACGAACTTCACGTAGCAATTCATTTATCTATGAAGCCGTATTTCATAACGTAAGTAAATATACTTTATGTTTGTTCTTTTTTAAGGTGTGCGCAAACAACTCCAGCCAGAGCAAACCGTTACGAAAGCGATGGCATCGCGATTTCTCGTCAGAACCGTCGCAGAAATTGCGCAGAGGAGGCCATGCGCTACCCGGGGCTAGGCGACGCATCCCTCGTGAAGAAAGGCGAACAAGGAGAGTGCGGCGCTTGATACAGAAGCTCAGTCTGTCTGTCAATGGATTCCACTGTGAGTGGAACCAGTACGAATATATGGTCAGTGATCAGTGTACTTGTGGATGTGAGTAAACTCGACATATGACAACACGTGCACTTCCGCTAACTCGAGTCCATCGGGATGAATATTGTTTTGCAAGAGGACCGCTGCACTTATCTGACATACTAAAAGAATATCCACCTCACCTCCATCGCTACTCGAACTTACACGTTGCTCACTATATGCATCCGAAAACTCATGTTTGTCAGAGTTTAAGTCAAACAAGCCAATCAGGCATTATTTAAACATGAGGCACCGCAACCGCCAAAACTTATGCACGCCTATTTTCAGCATGCAGAAACGAACACCTTAAAATAACTATCGATGTGAGGAAGTCTGACAGTGTTTTCGATAGATTTTTTTCTCTATTCAACGGTTGAGACCGTCCAAGTATTGGTCATATCCATTTTCGAAATGACTTGTCGCCTAGACTGTGTACAATTATACGGCGCTTTTAGCTACAGCAACAGCCATACCCCGGCTGTCAAGTACTGTGCATATTGTCGACCACGAGGAATAAGCCTGACAGTTATGCTTGATGACGTGACAGCAGTCACGCCAACAGCACGCACTTCTTCAACACGCATGTGATAGAGATTCAATTAGGAGATACTCGCGTTACACCACACATTGCGTTGTCGCTACTTTGTAGTCGGCCTTATTGCGCTAAACATTTATGTAGGTAGTGTATCCCGCCTGCTCTAACGATGCTTAGTATCACCCTGGACGAAGGCTGCAGCCGATGGCTTCCCTGGATGCACACCAAGCGGAGCCAGATATGACAGATCAGACGAGAATAATCATCATAGCATACACATGGCCAAACTGTTTACGCGCTTACTCCTTTGTGCTACGCGAAGTACAGCTGTGGGTAGGCTAGTAGGTAAAGTTGGCAATTGGGACTTGCGGAACGTTAAATGTGCAGATTTATCCATTTAGTTGTCGGTTAAGCAACCATTCGTAACCGTTCGATGACCTACAGCACAGGCTGGGCCGTAGTAAACACTGGGAACAATTAAAGCAGTTAACAAACAGCTAATTGTTCCAGAACGCGGGACACGTTTCAACACACTGGGACCCATCGGTGTGCTGAACTGTTCCGCAGTGGTTGCAATACATTGTTATTGGTTGAGCTGACATAGTATCACGTCCAGTGACCCTCCTTTGAGTGAATTCTGCCAAGACATGCAAATAACAACATCAAAGTTTCAGGCCAAGCTGTAAATTGTCAGGCGATGAGTATGGCCGGAGTAAGGTGCCAATATAAAAAGCCGTCACTATAAGTACTTGCAAAAAAGCAATACACCTGTAGCTCGGGTTGGCTGTGCTGGTTTTGGTTTGCTCTCGAAGCTGGTCAATTTTACTGCAAACGTCACATCACCAATCGGGGTGTGTTCGTCAATGTTATGGTGGGTTGTTGTAAATCTCGTTGAATGGGCCGTCGGATCTTGATCGACGAGCAAATGACGTAGGTACTTGAACTACATGGGAGGTATTGTGATTTACAATACCCAGCAAAAGCAGGAATAGAAGCTACGCGAAGGTTTGATGGATGTACGTGATATAACTCCCGGTTCGAAATAAATGGGAGAAAGCAACTTAAGAGATGTCAATTTACCAGGGTTCGCAGTAGTACATAGTACAACTTAAGCCTAATTGTGCTTACCAAGTTGATTTAGTGTATGACATTATTCCTTTTCGCAGTCGATTACATCCACAGCGCTTTCATATTCATCTTAAGGGAACTAATGTTGCTCCATATATTTTACAAGATGGTCCTTAGCGCCATCAGACTGCATCCAACGGACAACAACAGCATATCATGCTACTGTTCACTGAGTGATCCATCCCAAACCAGCCAATGGCATCTTACTGTGTAGTTCTCCGTTACACCATCGGCCGCTATGGGAGTGATTATTAAAGAACCGTAAAATTTTTAAAGTTTTGCGCCCGTTGGATACAGTTTGAAGGCGTTAGGGACCATCTCGAGAGACTTGAGGAGGATGATTTCCTTAAGGAGGGATTCGAAGGATATAAATGTTCAACTGGCTGAGAAAAGGTATGGTCGATGATAGCTATTGCAGCCATGTATTATGTTAGTTTAACCGTATGTAGCAACATGAGTGTAACAGTTGAAGTTTATGGCCACAGTGCCCAACCTTCGAAGGCGACAGTGTAACCGTGTGAATAACCGGAGTAATACCATTCATGTGCTTTTGCCACCACCGCATTAACCAGTTCCTGTTCACAATAAGTTAAAACTGAACAAAATCTTGCATTGTGTTCTCCATTGACAGTGGTTCGCCATAATTGGCTAGGTTAACAGGATTAGTAGATGATACTGAAGTAGACTAAGAGGAATTATAAACTGACAGAAACAAACAACAATGTGAGGGATAATGTAAAATGTTACAATTGCGCTCGGTAAATATGCAGTGGGATTAGGAAAAGAATCGCTACATATATGCCCATATACAATCATCCTGCGTCCAATCAATTGTATGGTATAAATTCACCAGTACAGCATTCGTGGTCATCAACTGATCGACTGATTTAAGCATGTTTCTGGAGCATAGGATTTCACAGACTCAGCGAATGAAGCCGAAATAAGTGAACGGCTTGCTGATTAGCGTCATCATCTCCGGATTAAGCTGGGTTGTGTTATGTTTGAAGTCACCAGTTCACAATTATAGTTGATTCCATGCCACATTGTTCATCTGCTCTTAACAGCGAATGTACATAAGCGACTGATAAAAAATAATCGAAATATGACGACCTCGAATCAGCCCGCGAAATTTTGTTTGTTCCTGTTGTTCCAAATAAGCCTAAAAAACTGCTCCATGATAAAGATATAAAAAGCTGCACACAAAGTGTAGCGAAAACGAAGAGGCAAGAAAGCACAATCTATTTGCACACAACCATGGTTTTCACATGCTACGCGCCCTCATGCTTTTGTCGACCATGTTTTCTTCCCACAACACAATACACGTTAGGAATCGCAAAACGTCACGTTCGTGTCTCCTCGGCCAGAATAGTTCCTGGTCCTGCTGCCTGTCTGACCCAGTAGCTTTGCTTCCGTAGCTCGCAATCTGACCAGCTTGGAGTTATTCTAAAGCGCTTGATTTGCTTGATCTTGACTGTCTTATTCGGCTTGTGGTTACTCCAAGGTGCACCGCCAAATGTGTTGCTGTCTTATTTATTGGTCTGTCGACATATCCCTTGTCAGTACTATTTGGGTCAGGCACGTGCTCCTTCGTCGCTCGTGTTCCGCTCTCTGCTAGTATTGTTGGGATGGGGTTGTGCTGTCCGATCTCGTCCATGATGTCCGCGCCCGTTTCGGTCCTCCCTCATTCTAGTTGCTTTTCAGTATGCTGTATGATAGCTGCCTGCTGCCCTTTTGCAATAAGGTTCGTGAAAAAGTAGTTCATTCAGACATCAAAGCGGTTTTCGAATTCACTGGCATAAGATAATTGCTGTAGTCAGTGATGTTGTACAGTTCATATTACCGTAGTCCAATAAGTTTCTTTTATTAATACAAAATGACTGGTTTGACCATAAAAGATGCGGTTACTAGAAACCGAATACTAGCAACGCGTCAGCGCCCATGATATTAATAAGCTGGGCTCTCATACAGTCCCACGGTACCATACTCTTACACCAAAATCCCCATCTTTGGTCATGGTGGGGAACACAAATTCAAAGTGCAATACGATAAGCATAAGCTGACTGGAGGTCTGTCCACTAATGAAGACTGCTTATTCCATTTGTCATAGTTTTAGTAGTACCTACCATGTGTCTTCTATGACAACAAGTAATCTCAGTCGTGGCTTCGGTTAATGAATCCAGTCAGTCACTTCGATCGCTGGATCTGTATTCGACGAGAAGGGTTTCGAGTTTGCTCTTCTCATCAATGCACTCCCCGACACGTTTCGTCCTTGTCTGCACTCATCGGGTAGTGATGGCCTAATCCGAGATTGGAACTAGGCAAGTAATGGTTGGAATGGCAAGGACTGCCTTCAAAGTCAAACAACGTCACAACCGAGATTGCGTGGCTCAATCGGCCGGTACTCCAAAACTCGACTGTCAACTTCTAACCGCCATGTCAAGCATTGCTTGCTAAATTCAGTGGCGTAATGATCATTGTAATAACCTGCAACCAGTATGTGCTGAGTGCCACGCGCAGAGCAAGCTACGAATGGAGGAAAATTTAAAACCGATCTGCAGGAGCTTGTAACTAGTGTTCCACTTTATAATCATGTCACTTCGCCAACCCCCTTAAGAATAGGTACTAGGCCATCTGTGCTTAATCTTGTGCTTAGCAACGAAGAACATATGATTGATGCGTTGGTTGTAGACTGCCCATTAGGCCGCTGTGATCATGCAGTTATTAGTTTTAACTAAATCTGATGTGCAGAAAACCGAGCTGCGGACCATGAGACGGCACGAACCACCACAGGCTACGACCGGTTAGCCCATCTTTTCAGTGCCACTACCTGGTCGCTCCTCGTCAAAGACCCCACGGATGTCGCATGCCTCAAGTTCGTAAACAACTTCAATGGGCTGGTTACGGATGCTTCAAGGAAAATTTTTACAAACGGTGTGAAACCGTTACCCATGTAAGTAGCAGAACTCGAAACTTGCTGTCAGTACGCAACCCATCCTGGCGAGAGTGTGGATTATCTACAGCACCAGTAGCCCAACGAAAACACGGCGCTCCACTGAGCAGAGAGGATAAAGCCGCACATCCGTAGAATATGACAAAAACCTTCAGCGCTAATCACAAACTGCTGTAGAAGCACGTAAATGGCCTACGGAACGTGAGGCAAGGATTTCCGGTACTCACGACGGCGGATGACCAAATACGAAGGGCTAGGGAAGCAAAAAAGTGCTGCGGATGCAATGTGCTTCCATCTACCAGTGGGTATTGTCTGCAGGAGATCCTCTAGATTTTATCGCCCTGCCGCCCGGACTCACTCAAATCAGTTTACCACCGAATTTGTTTAGCAGAAGCTGACCAATCTACGCAAGCACA